GGACTAAAAAAACTTATTCGCATCTACCCCAGGACTACGTGTTACATTAAAACGCGTAAGCGACATCGTTTGCACGGCGCTTACGACTTTCTTCCCTTGAGGTTTGTGGATTGAGAGCTTTTATTGCTGTGCACTTTGTGAACGTGGATAAATATTATTTGTACGAGGGCCTTTATTACGGAGCCATTCTGTTTATAATATAATATATTTTTTTTATTAACTACCTTTGTTGAATAAAAATTATGAACTTAAAAAACTTTGCATACGGTATGGGGTTGTTGTACACTACAAGAAGAATACGATGATGATGTCAAATATACTAAGTGTTTGAAGGCGTACCACTTAGCTTGTGTTTCTGTTAAAGCCTTGGAAATAAACTTGAAATGGATCTGCCCGAATTGCGCCAGTACTATTCCAAAACGTGGTACTATTGATAATACTCCGGTACATTTTAACCCCAATGTTACCGTCCGTTCCTCTAAAAGACAAGAGCTATTGTTGCCACCTAACAACAATGAAGCACATCCTCTTACCCATGATGACGTACGTGCAATTATGAACGATGTCTTAAAATCTCACATGGCAGACTTTACAAAAGAAATAAACCGCAGTTTACGAGGAATGTTGGATGCCGAAATGAAGACTATTAAGGATGAATTTAAGGAAATCAAGGCGTCTATTGAGTTTATAAACGGAAAGTTGAAATGCTTCAAATTGACCATAAAGCAAACAAAAAAAAAAATTAGACGAGAAAAACGAGCTAATGCAGTCAACTATCAATAGTCTTCAATCGCGCGTGAATCAATTGGAACAAAATTCTCGAGCCAATAATATTGAGATACAATATATGCCCGAAAGTAAATCTGAGAATTTAGTGACATTGTTAAAAAGTTGGGTAGTGTCATTGATTGTGAAGTAGCAGACGAACATATAGCTCGTGTTACAAGAATAGCCAAGCTGCAACAAGACAGTTTGCGTCCCCGATCGATTGTTGTGGAATTCAAAGACTTAAAACTACGTGATGCTTTCTTGGCAGCGAGTATTAATCTTAATAAAAAACACCCAGACGATAAATTGAATAGCGCACATCTCAGACTGGTTGGCAAAAAGACACCCATCTTTGTTGTTAAGCATCTATCTGTAACTAACAAAGCACTACATGCAGCTGCAAGAAGAACAGCCAAGCAACAAGGTTTTAAATTTGTATGGGTCAGAGGGGGAAAAATCTAATAGAGAAAAAATTAAGGCACGGGCTATATCATTGTCAAAGATATGCAAACATAAGTTGCCATACGATAGGTATATTTATTTTTAGTTTTCGTTTGTACTTTAAGCATGCATATATAGTTTTAATTTATAAAATTCACGTTACAAATATACTATCAAAACACTAGAGGGCTAAGAACTAAAACTAATTTTTTTTAAATTTGTCAGTGTGCAATTTTGATATTATTGTGTTAACTGAAACTTGGCTATGTAGCAATATATTGAATACTGAATTATTTGATGATCGATACATTGTGTTTCGAAGAGACAGAAAGTCTACTGGTTTGTTTACTGAGGGAATAGGAGGGGGTGTACTGATCGCAGGGTCAAAAAAGATTCAAGCCAAGGAAGTCACTTGTTGGAACAGCTCATGCGAGGATTTGTGGGTAATGTTAAATATACCATTAGCTGGTAAAATAAAACAAATTGCTTTTTGTGCTGTATACCTTCCTCCACCAGTTACCCATCGCTTATTGGATAGTTTTGTAGATCACTGTAGTTCGATATTGGAGAAATTTGAAGGTCATGTTTGTATTATCGGTGATTTCAATCTACGCAATATTAATTGGAAACTGGTATATGATGCCGATGTAAAATATCAAACACCTGTGCTTGGTCAAAAATTGATTGGCTTCGCCACAGTGTAATACAATCGCAAATCAACATAATAAAACGTTAGATCTGCTATTCACCTACATGGTTAATTGCAAAGTGTATGAATCGTTAGATGTTCTTAGTAAAACGGATCTTTATCACCCACCACTACATGTTGATATACATTATGAAAACGTTTGTCAACTGCAATATAATACATATTTCACTAAACTTAATTTTGAAAGAACTAATTATTCTTCCATCAATGATTATCTTTCCAAAATTGACTGGATAGCAGAATTTTCTCAGTACAAAGATTTAAATCAAATAGTTGAACATTTTTATGTCTTGATCAGACATATTATATCGAAATTTGTGCCCCAAAAAAGAATAGTCAACCACGGTAAGTATCCGCCATGGTTCAGTAACAGTTTAATCATCCGCAGACTTCGCGAAAAGAACAAGATTCTAAAAAGATACAAAAAGTATAGAAATCCTTTAGATAAGATTGAGTTGAGTATTTTGTCTAAAAGGTGTCAAAAACTTGGTACTACCTGCTACAATGCATACCTTAATAACGTTGAGGATAGAATATCTAGAAATACAAAAGCATTCGGGTCTTTTGTTAAAAGTAAACGTAGTGGCTGTAGTTCATACCCAACCAGTATGACGAATGGAGATATGATTGCAAATGATGGGCCGAGCATTTGTAATCTTTTTGCTAGTCACTTTGCCGAAGTTTATACCAAAGCCACAATGTCACCAACTCATAACTCATTAGTACTCGAAGGTACTGCTAATAGTAGTTCATCATTCGGTGGTCTCTATTTTCATCAAAAAGCAGTGGTTCGCGCTTTGAAGTCCCTGGACGTAGATAAAGGCGCTGGACCTGACGGTATTCCACCCTGTTTCCTGAGAAATTGTGCCTTAAGTATTGCTGTACCTCTCTGCTTTATATATTATTTCTATTTATAATTTTATTATATCTTTAGCAAAGGGCATATTTCCCAAGGAGTGGAAAATCGCAAAGGTGGTTCCAGTTTTTAATTCTGGTATAGTGATTTGATTATAAATTATAGACCGATTTCAATCTTTTCCACAAGTCTAAGGTCTTCGAAATTTTGATCTGTCCATATATTTCCGCTTATGTGAAACCAATTATCACGGTCCATCAACATGGTTTTTTGAAATCTAGATCAACTGCCACAAATTTGGTTTCCTTTGTTGAGACTGTACGCTAACCACGAATTATTGATTAAGAAGTTGTCAATTTATGGTATTAATGGAACGTTGTTAAACTGGTTTGATTCATATCTGAATAAGCGCAAATTCTTTGTAGTGGTAAATGGTTTTAATTCTAAGGAATATGACATAGATTCGGGAGTACCACAGGGTTCAAACCTGGGTCCTATTTTGTTTAACATTTTTGTTAATGACGTTGTTGATTGCATCTTGTATTCTACTCCGTACTTGTACTCCGATGACTTGAAGTAACTAAGAGTAATAAAAACGACACCGGATTCCATATTATTACAAGAGGATATAAATAGTCTAAGTCGTTGGTGTGAACGGAATGGCATGCAACTAATGGGCAAATATGTTTATGTCAAATTTACCCGAAAACAGAAAACTTTAGACTCTGTTTATTTTATTAATGGTATAAAATTACAGGAAGCTGACCATATAAGAGAACTTGGTGTGATAGTTGACCGAAAGTTAACCTTTGCTGCCCACTTAGAGAGTATTATAAAAAGAGCTTCAAACATGCTTGGATTTATTATTAGAATGGGCAAGCAGGGCAAGCAGAGCCTTTTTGTTTGCAACCTCCGAAAAGGTTGCAAAGAAAAAGGCTCCTGTGCAACTCTTTTGTCCTGAGTATTTTGGAACACTGCAGTGTAGTATGGCGACCACACTATGCATGTCACTCTTTAAGATTGGAACGGCACCTAGCCTACTCAGCCAATAAATGTAAAAAAGGGTTTTCCTACAAAAACAGATAGAAACATTTTAAGTACACTACCTTGGAAAACCGTCGTATAATGCTTGATCTCGTCTTTTTGTACAAATTATTTAACAAAAAAATAGATTGCCCAGGCTTACTGAGAAAATTTAGATTCAATGTACGAGTACCACACAAATTACCTAGAACTAAAATATCACCATTAGTTCCACCATTGCGTACAACAGTTTTGGGCTCTAATTCATTTATCCCTAGAGCAAGCAGACTTCTAAACTATTATGGTAAAAACATAGATATCCATGCTACAAGTCTGAATACGTTTCGCAAACACTTGCAGAAAACCATAGTCGAGTTATAATTAAGTAATTTTTTATGTTCATTAATATACTGTGCTGTTATTGTTTCCTTTTTTCTCTTTCTTTTTCTCATTTATTGTGAACACATTAAGTCACTTATAAATATTGGATGTTACTACCCTTAATATTTTGTGCATGTGGTGTTTACCTTAATTAATTGTGCATTTGGCTGTACATGTTATTGTTAAATACTCATTGATGTATTATTGTTACAATTACTGGTAAACCTAATAAATAAAATAAAATAAAAAAATAATGACTTTCACTAAGTATTATGTAATAATCTATATTGAATTGAAAGCACGGTCATGAGCCACAACCGTTCTTTGTGGCATTCCTTTGGAGGCCTATGTTCAGCAGTGAACTTGCGAATGATGAATAATAATAATGATGATGATGATTATGTAAGAGTGTCGTCTCTTCCCTTTAGAGCCGATCCATTCGTGCTACAACCATAAAATAGTTGAAGCATGGCTTTTCCACATTGAAACGATGTTTGCTGTGTCTGAAACTGGCCAGAGGATGATCTCCATATTCTTGCTATTATCATCATCATCATTACAGTCTACCAAAGTCCATTGCTGAACATAGGCCTTCCCTGCACTGCGCACTGCTGACCATAGGATATTTGTCATAGTTGCCATGATTGGCTGGCGCGTTGGCAACCTCAATTTTTTTTCAATATTCAGTTGTTATCAGGAAGATGCTGCTGTACATTTTTTTATTTAGTTTCTCTATGTCGCCTCTTAGGGCAACCACGGAATAATATGAGGAAATGGATTCTCTATCGTCAGCCATACACAGCGATTCGCTTCACTTTTTACCTTACACAATCTGCTAAGACGAATTTCCTCGCATCGTAGTCAATGAGGCGGTGGTAGGAGACAGCTGAATGGTCATACGTACGTATCTCCAAAGGCATCGTTAATCTGAAATTAAAATTGTAATAGATTATTTATGCTTTATTTTAAAATCGTAGCAATGCTATTAACATTAATAATATTCCCTTTAACCACTCGAGTGGTTCACGACAATAGTCGAATGACGGATTCGAACCTACGACCTTTTGAGTTTGCGGTTCGCACCCACTCATTAGGCTACTGTCAAACTCCAATCCAACAGGCGGTACTATACTAGTATTTTCTTTTATTTTTTGAAGGCGTTTTACATTAATAAATTGCACACATTGTTTGTAATGACAAACATCTAGACCGGAGACAAATATTTGTAGGCCTTACAAACATTTGTGCCGTGCGGGATTCGAATCCGCAGATCGAGCGGCGTGACTGTGATAGAGAGTTATGAAGGTAGATTAAGCAAATTTAGGATTTTAATAGTAACATATTGATAGCGAGAGCAATCTAATGGTTAAAGGTACAGATGACGGTGAACCTAAGTCGTGGTAAGCTTTGCTAAAATAAATCTAATTTTACGGATTTTGCGTTTAATTCCCAATGTTTCGGGATTAAGTAATTGTGCATTGTCTCAAAAATCAAAAATGTGTGCCAAATTTTAGCTCGATGGCTTCAGTGGAAGTTGGTGAAATATTGTTAATTAATTGCAAACATTCCAGGACATAAATACAAGTGAAGTTAAATAAAAGCTTTTAATAATAAATAAACCTGAAACAATATTAGAAATTGCCGTGTAGTGGCGGTTAAGAATATCCACTACCCCATATCTTCCCGTGGGTGTCACAAGAGACGACAGAGGGAGGCAGGCAGGAGATGGGCAGCAGCGTCTTCCTGATGACAACTGTGACGTAATAAAAAACTGCGGTTGCCAACCCGCTCGCCAAGCGTGGCAACTATGGCAAATACCCCCCAATGAATAAATACACAAACAGACGGCCCCCAGTCCCCGGCGGCCCCGCTATTCCTGGCTACGGTGGCGACCATGGTAACGGCGGGGCAGGGGGTGCTAAGAATCTCCGGTGGAGGTTCGGTTGCCACCTACGACGACTCGACCTGGCAACATATAACGCACGCACCCTGAGGACTGACAAGAAGATACTGGAGCTGGAAGAAGAGGTAGACAAGTTGCGCTGGCATATTATTGGATTATCCGAGGTCCGAAGAGAGGGGGAGGACACGGCAATCCTCGAGTCCGGCAACTTGTTCTATCACCGGGAGGGCGACCATCTGTCCCAAGGAGGTGTCGGATTTATCGTCCACAAATCTCTCGTCAACAACGTTGTAAAGATTGGGAGTGTGTCGACGAGGGTCGCGTACCTGATACTCAGAATCACCAAACGGTATTCGCTGAAGGTCATTCAGGTTTACGCACCAACCTCGGCACATCCCGATGAGGAGGTGGAGGAAATGTATGAGGATATTTCCAGAGCCATACATTCCTCCAAAACCTACTACACGGTGTTGATGGGAGACTTCAACGCAAAACTGGGCACAAGAGAAAGCGGTGAGCTGAAGGTAGGGAAATTTGGAGTAGGGCAACGGAACCGAAGGGGCCAGCAGCTGGCCGACTTTATGGAGAAAGAGGAACTCTTTATGATGAACTCTTTCTTCCAGAAGCGGCCCCACAGGAAGTGGACCTGGTCGAGCCCCGACGGTTCGACAAAAAATGAGATTGACTTCATTATGACGACCAGACGCCAACTGTTCAGTGATGTCTCAGTGATCGCAAGGGTGAAAACTGGCAGCGATCACCGAATGGTTAGAGGCACACTGAACCTAAACGTTAAGTTGGAGAGGTCTCGTCTAATGAAGTCAACGCTCCGTCCCCCTCGTGCTCTAATCCAGAATCCCGAAACCTTTCAGCTCGAGTTACGTAACCGCTTCCAGTGCCTAGAAGATTGCAATGCAGTGGACGATATGAACGACAAGCTCGTGGAAACTGTCCATGCGGTCGGAGCTAAGTTCTGCAAGACCCGCCGCAGAAGAACACAAAAACTCTCCGATCACACTCTTAATCTCATGGCTGTTAGACGGGAGATGAGGCTGCAATCGTCAACAGATTTGACAGCATACAGGCAACTGAACAGACAGATCTCCAAATGCATACGGCGAGACTTACGCAACTTTAATACTTCTCGTATTAAAGAAGCGATCGAGCGGAACCAGGGCTCCAAAGTCTTTGCCAGAGATCTGTCTGCCAGAAAGAGCCAACTGTCAAGGCTGAAGACTGAGTGTGGCAACATCGTTTCCGGGACACCTGAGATTTTGAGTGAGATTGAGAGGTTCTATGGGCAGCTGTACACATCATCGTTGGAGCCACACGCAAGTGTGAGTAACGATCCAAGAGCAAGTCTTATCCGACACTATTCCGATGACATCCCGGACGTCAGTCTAAGCGAGATTAGAATGGCTCTCCAGCACCTTAAAAACGGCAGGGCCCCAGGCGAGGATGGAATTACAGCGGAGCTTCTGAAAGCGGGTGGAACACCGGTACTTGAAGGCCTTCAGAAGCTCTTCAATTCCGTCCTCCATGGTGGCACTACTCCAGAGGCGTGGAGCAGAAGTGCGGTGGTCTTGTTCTTTAAGAAAGGCGACAACGCTCTCTTAAAGAACTACAGACCGATTTCCCTTCTGAGCCGCGTCTACGTGCTGTTTTCGAGAGTCATTACGAATCGTCTCGCACGCAGACTTGACGACTTCCAGCCTCCCGAACAAGCCGGTTTCCGAAAAGGCTTCAGTACCATAGACCACATACATACCCTGCGGCAGATTGTACAGAAGACTGAAGAGTACAATCTGCCACTTTGCCTGGCGTATGTGGACTATGAGAAAGCCTTTGATTCCGTCGAAATTTGGGCGGTGCTACAGTCCCTTCAGCGGTGCCAAGTTGACTGTCGGTATATCGAAGTGCTGAAGTGTTTGTACAGTAGGGCTACGATGGCTATCCGAGTACAGAACCAGAGCTCGAAACCTATCCAACTGCAGAGAGGTGTAAGACAGGGTGACGTTATATCCCCGAAACTCTTCACCGCTGCATTGGAAGATGTTTTCAAGCTACTGGACTGGAAAGGATACGGTATTGACATCAATGGCGAGTACATCACTCACCTTCGATTTGCCGACGATATAGTCCTTATGGCAGAATCGCTGGAGGACTTAAGCACTATGCTCAATGACCTCAATAGTGCCTCCCAACGGATAGGTCTTAAGATGAACATGGACAAAACAAAGATCATGTTCAATGTCCATGTCACACCTATGCCGGTAGTTGTTGGGAGCACTATGCTCGAAGTTGTTGACGAATACGTTTACCTGGGACAAATAGTCCGACTAGGTAAGTCCAACTTCGACCGAGAGGTCAATCGACGGATTCAACTCGGCTGGGCAGCGTTCGGAAAATTACGGCATATCTTTTCGTCAGGTATACCTCAATCTCTAAAAACTAGATTGTACAACCAGTGCGTGTTGCCAGTGATGACTTACGGATCTGAGACGTGGTCCTTCACTGCTGGCCGTATGAGGACGCTTAAGGTCGCTCAGCGAGCTATGGAGAGGGCTATGCTCGGAGTTTCTCTGCGTGATAGACTCAGAAATGAGAATATCCGCAGTAAAACCAGAGTGACCGACATAGCTCAACGGATTAGTAAGCTGAAGTGGCAATGGGCCGGCCATATAGCTCGAAGAACCGATAACCGATGGGGAAGAAAGGTTCTCGAGTGGCAGCCTCGTACCGGTAGGCGTAGTGTAGGGCGACCCCCCACTAGATGGAGTGACGACCTGGTAAGACATGCAGGAAGTCGATGGATGCAGGTGGCTCAGGACCATGCTTTGTGGCATTACTTGGGGGAGGCCTATGTTCAGCAGTGGACTTGTGAAGGGCTGTAATGATGATGATGATGATGATGAATATTAGAAAGTAAGAATCAGAAAATCTACTGGGACCGAACAATAATAACAGATAAAACTATTCATTACAACAGACCTGACATTACCGTTCACGTCAAAACGAATAAAACAGTTTACCTAATAGATATAGCAATACCAAACTCACACAACATACAAACTACAATAGCCGAAAAGCTAAGTAAATATCAAGAACTTGCCATAGAAATTAACTCAATGGAAAGCGCAAAATGTTCACATCGTCCCGATAGTTTTCTCATCCACCAAAGTCACTCACACAAAGCCTTAACACTCTACAAATGCCTACTCATACACTTCACATGCTCCAAAAAGCCACCATCCTCAGCACTTGTCGCATCACCCGAAAGTTTCTGACTCCCTCTACTCTATCATCCAATTTTACAATTTAAATTTCCATCACACACTTGTGTGGTGTTTTATACTCTCAAAAAAGAAAAGAAAAATACAGAATTTATATATAATAATAATAAGAAGAACAAAATATCTGGACCTGGCTCACGAGGTGACCGACATGTGGGGTGGTATACCAGCCGAAATTATTCCTGTAGTCGTCTCTGCGAATGGGCTAATCCCAGTCAGGGATTATCCCTGATCCTCTCGGGTCATCTGAGGCGACTGGGACTCCATGACGGACCGCTCCGGGCTAAAATGCAGAAGGCGGTGCTCCTCGATACCGCCCGCATCATCCGCCGGTTTCTTTCCCTTTCCTCCTAACCCTCGGCCGTTTGGTCTCCCCTGCTGAGGGCTTCCATCTGGTTGGGCTTTTATTTATTTATGTATTTTTGTATTTATTTTATTTTATTGATATTTATATATATTAGAACCCAACCAGATGAGAAAACTATATAGATATCCCACTGAATAATAATAATAAGCGTAGGGAAGTGACGACCTCATGACCGCTGACGTAATGGTTATGTGACAAAACTGCTACGTTAGCGCAGTTCGTCAGCACCATGCCAAGATATGTTAGTGCCATGCCTCGGCAAAATTGAAGGTGCAAAGGCCCGCTTATGCACATGACCTCAACATGAAACGGTGCAGGATCTGGGCGTATCCCGTTAACTGACGCCCACTAAATAGATGATGGAAATCAGAAAAACCCGCAAGAGGCCGCTGTCTGAAGGTCGCCAGGGCGTGTCTGGAGCTGACGCTGGAAGTGACAGTATGTGAACCGCCAGCTGAACGCGAGTTCCTGCACGACTACCCAGCAGCCCCTCAGTATTTCAGAGCGAGCTCCTGGTGTAGAACCCTGGCTACTGAGTGTAGATTGTATCTGTGCAAGTACTCAGAGTAAGAAAGAGCCGAATAACCGGTGATGACATGCCTAAGTGATTCACCGGGATGGCGACAAGCTTGACAGTTATTAATGGCGCCATCCTTTAGGATATACCTCTGATAGTTGTTGGTCTTAATAACCTGATCCTGTATCACACAGACAAAACCCTCGGTTTCCCCAAAAGAGGTTACTGGAGCGTAGCCAGTAAAGGCCAGGCCAGTAAGGCAACCGTATTTATGTAAGGCTCATGTAGAGCCTTGTAGAAACTCCTATGCAGCTCTTTCTGCTTCCATATTCATCTGAGGTGGCTGGAACTCCGTGATGGACTTCTCCGGGCTAAAATGCAGAAGGCGGTGCTCTTTGATACCGCCCGCATCGCCCGCCGGTTTCTTTCCCTTTCCCTCAAACCCTCGGCCGTTTAGTCTCCCTTGCCGATCGTTTCCATCTGGCTGGGATTTTATTTATTTATGTATTATTTATGATAGTATATTTAATATATATTTATGTTTATTTATTTATGATATCTTTTATATATTTATTGAGCCTAACCAGAAGAGAATACTCTATAGTTACTCCAAATTGATTAATAATAATAAACAAATTTAGTAAAGCTTCAACAAAACCGACGTACCGACGACCGAAACTACATTTTTATCAATCCACTTCAAAAAAAGGAGGTTCTGTACTCTTTTCATCTCTTTATTTTTATGTGTGTTACATTAGAACTTTATAAAACTATAGTTTAACCGATTTTGATGATTCTTTTTTATTTGAAAGCTGATAATTCTCATTTTGCCCTATATATATTTGACTAGTAGTTATCCTTAAATACGCATTGTACAATACGCTTTATAATTGACTTCGACTACATTGATGACGTTCTCATTTTATTGATATTGAAGTCGGTTGTACAAAATTTTTAATATTACCACTTGTTGACTGAAGAAAAAGGCTATTATTGTCGCTTATTATGCCACTACTATTGTCTTATTATTACGATTTCTATGCAAGAAACCAAAAAATACATATTTAAAACGCATATTTTAACTGATGATGACACTGTGTGATCATCTCCGTGACGAATAAGTTCACATCAGTCCCAATTAAAGACATCTGGTGAGCGTAAGATCAGTTATCATCATCATCATCATCACTGCAGCTGTCACAAGTCTACTGCTGAACATAGGCCTTCCCCAAGGAATGGCACAAAGCACGGTCTTGAGCCACCTGCATCCAAGGACTTCCTGCATGTGTTACCAGGTCGTCACTCTATCTAGTGGGAGGACGCCCTACACTTCGCCTACTACATTCTTCCCCATCGGATGTCGGTTCTTTGACCTATATGGTCTGCCCATGGCCACTGCATCACACTAATCCGTTATTTTGGTTCTACTTCAGATATACTTATTTTGAAGTCAATCACGCAAAGCATTGTGTACGTGGTAGAGTCATGCTGCAGCTATATTAGTAGTATAGTTGTAGCACGAATGGGGTGACTTGACCGGGGAAGTGAGTGTAGAGAACTGGAGACCCCTATTACTGAAAACGTGGCATTCCAACTTAGTCCTAACGCATGGCAACTTATCTGCATTTTGATTCGTAGTCGAGGATAGATGTATACTAGATGTCTATGGGCCGCAGCAACTATTTACCATAAGGTAGACTGTGTACTCTTTTGTTACCCTTATCCTATGTAAAAAGAATATAAACTAGAGTATGGGCTATACTCTGGTACTCTCCATAGCTTGCTGAGCGACCTTGAGTTTCATACGGTTAGTTGTGAAGGACCACGTCTCAGATCTCTAAGTCAGGTAGTTCAATCTTGGTTTGACATTTTGAGGAATACCTTTAAGATTTTTAGCCCTCATTTTTAATGAGTTTGACTTACACTACGTCTATGGCGTTCAGGACCCCAGCATCCAAACATCTGTTTTTGAATACGTTCGTGAATAGCGTACGCAGCGTAAAATTGAGATCAAGCACTTGTTTAGACACCTCCGAGCTCTGATTGCAAGAGTGGAATGCGAGGACGAGGTCTAGATCTGAAAAATATTTAAAAAAATTGTGATGTAGCAAATGGCTCCAAAGCACAGTGGCTGAGTGTTTAGACGCGGTGCTGTAGGCTACGTGTCTGAATTCCGCACGAAACTAGTGTTGTTTTTTTATAGAATAAGGGTGACAAGTGAACACACAGTCCACCTAATGGTAAGTGGATACTGTGGACAATACATCTAAATCTACCTCGATTACTAACAAAGACGCGTTGTCATTCCTGAGGAATAAGACGGAACGCCTAAATTGCAGTAAAAAAGATCTTCGGTTGCCTACACTCACCATAAGAAACACAGCAGTATTAAGCTGATCTTACGCCGGCATTCTGTGTAAGTGTGGTCCTTTCCCGGTTAAGCCGACCCATTCCTGCTACAAACACAATATAGTCGCAGCATGATTATACCACATGACAAATTATTTTATCGCCTACGTTCTGCATCTCGAGGAGTGTCCTAGTGCGATGTATGTTTGTAAATTGCCTCAACAATACAGAAGAAAATCCTACTGTTGTACCCCCACAAAAATAAGCAAGCCTTGTGGCTTAAAAGGATCCGACCACGTTTTTTTAAAAAAGGAAAATTTTAACTTTTTATTTGTCACATCAACAATTAAGACGAATCTAACAACATTCCTTAAGTTAAAATCTATTAAGCCGTTTCTGCAACAGAGCGTGCCAAAGAAATAGACAATACGTACATACACACACTCGAAACACATTATACCCTTCCCATGATATACTGTGCGAAGTAGGTCCCTCGTGGAACCGACCCATTCGTTTCACAGGCATATTATGTCCCTCATAGTTCTACTACATAAACAATTGAGAATACAATTATGCGAATAAATACAAACGTGTGAGTTCAGAATTAAAATTTTCTAGATATTATACATTTTATTATTATTAAATTAATCCAATCACGTAAAGTCTTTTTTGAAATATACAAAATTTGACCTCCGCATAGTTTAAAAATTTATAATAATTATAATATTAAGGAATGTTGCAATGATAACAACCCTCGGGAATAAGGTGATCGCCACCAAGCTATTTCTAACTTGTTTTGTGTTAATTGAGTTCATTTTGAATTTATTGGGTTTACAAACATAGTCAACAATCATCATCATCATCATCACACCCTTCACAAGTCCACTCTGAACATAGGCCTCCCCAAGTAAGACCCCGTCTCCAGTATCAAAGACTCCGAGAGTCAACAACCATTAAATATACAGACATTGATTAAAACTACTTTTACGGATTTAATCGCGTTTAATTTACTTAGTTTTAATTCCCAACGTTTCGGGTGTTTTCCAGCAACCCTGGTCACGGGGCCTGAGGTGACTGACGTCCCGATGTCAATTTCAACACGGAGTACATAGCTTTTTAATTCTTATTTATGGTCCGGTCTACACAGAATGAACTTAATGGTCTTGAAGTCTTGCAGTGGTATGCTTGGGTTTAGTTTTAACTTTATTAATTACAGGATCCCTAGCAGTCGGTAGTACCTAGCCTCCATCTCTATTGAAATTAGGATTTTTTAAATTCCAATAGTCTCACGTATGATCCTTGGTAGGAATTGATGTTCTTTCGCGAGGATTTGTGGTCTATCAAATCTGATGTAATCACGGGGGCCATCTAGGATATGATCACAAACTGCAATGATGTTTTTAGTACACTGCTGTTCTTTATTAAAAAAATATATTTCGCTGGGTTTCTTGCTGGTTATTCCCTGCACAAAGTTTTCCGAACCAGTGGTAAGTCAGACATAAGAGTGATCTTCAAGAAGTATTATTTAAAATCTTTATAGAATGTAAAAGTTTCTATTTCTGTAACTTGCGTTGAATGTAATCTCAACTGAGTCTAGTCGTCTACGCAAGTTTATAGTGCACGAGTGTGTGCGCAAGAGCAGATGCACTCTATTCTCTGATTCTAATTTCAATGCGACGGAAATCCGTTATCATTACAGAAATTAGGCGCAGGACCAATGGCTATATGTGCTTTCTGATGCACGTCGGTGAAGCATCGCCTACTCCCCGACTTCGGGTTGCTACTAAAAATTTTTTGACAGAAAAACCAAATAAATGACTATCCGACCCTGAACCCGGAATCACATATTTAGTACTGTTATACATGGGCGGCGGTCGACACTTACCATCAGGTGAGTCGTATGCTCGTTTATCACCTCTTCTATAAAAAAACGAATATAAATTTGTAATTACTCTTATTGTTTTGTTTAATTTGACTTAAAGACTTATATTCTCCCAGATTAATTAACATATTTTGTTAATAAACGGCTGTTTTTGCGTTATTTTTTAATTAACGTTTTTTCCCGTTGCTCATGAGTGGATATTTGCTTAAGTAATTGTAGTACTGGGCAGATTCCATCAGATGAAGTGATGACCTGCTATAAAAACAAGCTTTTTTATAGAATGAGGTTGATAAACCACCACGCAGTCCACTTGATGGTAAATAAATGCTGCGACCCATATACATCTACATCTATTCTCAGCTTAGAATCAGAATGCAAATGGAAAGCCTGTCCAATGACACCTCGGAAGAGGCCAAAGTTCACTATCGGGCTTATCAGGACTGTAATAGTAATGAAGATGATGATGAAAGAAAGAATCTTACTACTAGAAATTTATTTTGTATCGTAGAGGCGTTTCACATACATAAATTACACATTAACTAACATCCAGACCAGGAAAAAGACTACCACCACTTGTTTCGTATATAATTCGAGCCCGCAGCCCGCAACACCTCAGCTAATCGCCAAGCTACCACGCTTCTTGGATTATGGTTTTGTTTTTAAATATATTAGTCAGATTATCGTAGACTTGCTGTTTTGAGATAGTTTCTATATTTTTGAAGGCCACGAGATTACAGATGTGGAGATTTCCTTTCACAAACATATGTTTAATAAATCATCATTACAGCCTAGCAAAGTTCACTGCCAAACACAGGACTCACCTATAGATTGCCTCTTAGGTAGGATAATTGCCATAGTTGCCACGCTTGGCAGGCTACCGCAAATGTGTATTATTTCGAGTTGTTAACATCAAGAACTCATTACTATTACAATTAATACGTAGTAGAGCCATGCTACAGTTGTATTAGTAGTATAGTTGTAGTACGAATGGGTCGGCTCGATCAGGGAAGAACCACGCTCTGACAGAATAACAGCGTAAAATAGCAGCTTAATGTTGCTGTGTTTCGTATGGTGTGTGTAGAGAACAGGAGAACCTTTTTGCTGGAAACGAGGCATTCCATCTTAGTCCTCACGGTTGACAACGCATCTGCATTTTGATTCGTAATCGAGGATAGATGTAGATGTCTATGGGCCACAGCAACCACTTACCATCAGGTGGACTGTGTGCTCGTTTGTCACCCTACTCTATAAAAAAAGATGCTGCTGCCCATCTCCTTGCCTCTTACGACACACACGAGATATAATGTGTTATTGGATTCTAATACGCCGCAACACACACCAGCATTACTTTATGTTTGTTTTTTTCGGAAAGATATCCCTGTACAAGATGCAGGAGTCAAGCTTGACTGTGAATATAGTCTATAGAGACTATATTCACAGTCAACCTTGACTCCTAATAATACTTAGGGCAAGAAGTAATAGTAGGTACATAGGACAAACAAAAATATCCATAAAAACCCAAGTGCAAGATCATATCGCTGATATGAAAAATAGACGCTACGGGATCCGGGAAGTCTGCAGTATATCAAAATATTCAGGTCCGTCCCAACCATTAGTTTGATAGACCAAAAAACCTCACTACAAAACACCGATTCCTACCTACTATTGAAATTAAAAAACATCCTAATTTCAATAGAGAAGACGGTTGGGTGCTACCATCTGCTTGGGATCCTATAATTAATAAAATTAAATCCCAACCCAAGCATACAACTGCAAGACATCAAGATACTGTAGGCTCGTTCTGAAAACCAGAACCAGAAATTAATAATTAAAAGTTGAACTTAATTTTCAGTAACTATGACATCGGGATGTCAAACACATCAATCCCCCTTCCCCGTAATCATGGGTGTTGTAAAGTGCCCCAAACGAAACGAATAAAATCCATAAAATTTGTTTTATTCAATGTAGTACTTGTGTAAAAATAATAAATAAACTTAGACTAGTGTAGCCTACCTGTTATATGTTTAGACGGTAAGTGTTGTTGAGTGTCGAGCCATTTCCTTAGCTTCTTGATATCTTCAATTTCAATTCCGGACTTTTTACATTCAGTTTCGATAGATGGAGACTGTCCGACTTGTAAAAACATGGTTCTGAAAACGTACAAACAATTACAGTAGAGCGTCGATTATCCGAATAATTTCGGGGACATGGATGTTCGGAAAATCGGTTTAGGTAATTTTATACCATCGCAGTCACCTCGTTTTTTGGCTCCAGAAAATCGAAAAATTATCCGATTTCGATGATTTTTTTCATAACCTTCATTATTACGGAGGATTTACAAAAATAATTACAAGAATGGAAAAAATGAAAACTTATATTGGTTTCAAGGCTTTAAATGTCCATGAAAATACACTCATTCATGTATAATTGTTGATAATTTTTTTTAATTAAAATATAAAATAAATACAAACATTTTTTAATTTTTTCCGAGTCGGGATGCCTTAGTCCCGAGCTCGCATCACTCGATCTTACACTCATTAAAAACCAAAATAAAAAATTGACGAAAAAACATTGTTCAATGTTTATTTCTTTAAATGTTCGTTTTTTTGTGTAGATTATTAAAAACAACTTCATTTGATTATTTAAAAAAGTTATAAACGATTATATTCGAAGAAGTGCGTTTATGATGACATTTAAAGTCATAAAACCATATGAAATTTTGAGGTGAGATATTTTCCATATTTTTTTTCATAAATTCGCCATAAAGACGAAGATTTTTAAAGAAAAATTATCGAAATCTGATGATTTTTCGACTTTCTAGAGCCAAAAAACGAGGTGACCGCTATAGTATAAAATTACTCCGGTTTATTCGGATAATCAAACTATATAATTTTATGTGCCAATATACTAATAAAAACATATTTATATGTAAGTTTAATTTAATTTATTACAGTTGTAACACAAGATAGAGCAGTGGTACGATCCTTGTTTACTTTAGACCAGGTGCCGCTAATTCACGACGTGAAGCAAGAGTTTTTCGTGGCAAAGCCTTCCAATTGAGCCCAGTCTTGTCAGGGTTGTAAACTTTTTCTAAAACTCTTTCCAAAACCTTTCTAAAACACAAAGACCCTTTTTTACTGGAAACGAGGCATTTCATATTAGTCCTCAGGGGTGTCAGTCAGCGTATCTGTATTTTGATTCGTAATCGAGGGTTAATGTAGATGTCTATGGGCCACAGCAACCACTTACCATCAGGTGGACTGTGTGCTTGTTTGTCACCCTATCCTATAAAAAAACATAATTTCCTTGTTTAATTCGACAGACAGTTTTTCTCTTCGACAGTTTTGCTCAGAGGTAAAAGAAAATAACGTGAGAGAACCTGCATATTTGAGATATAATTATATATTTCTCTGTCCTATTTTACGAATGAGGTATTTCCCAACGACTACCGTCTTGGACTTGAAATCTGAAAATTTCATAAAATAATTTCCTTCAGACCAATTTTCTGTCACAACGGCCCATTTTAATGGAGACCAGCCATTTACGCAGGACAGGCTTATAGTGTCCAAGTGTATGCGCAAAGACAAGTGCACTCTCTATTTCCTCACTCTTGGGGTCCGATGAGACGGTAATCCGACATGACTGGAGAGAGATAGGTGCAGGATCAACGGCTTTACGTGCTTCCCGAGGCACGGGAGTGAAACACCGCTAATTTACTACTCCGGGCTGCTACTGAAAACTCTCAGACTAACAGTTTTTGGTTCAATCCAGGAATCGAAACCAGGACCTCATGATCAGCAAGCGCGTTTATGATATAGCGGTCCAACGAGAGACCAACAAGGCAGTCTTTTTGTGTAATATAATAATATATACACACAAAAAGACTGACTTGTTTTTTGAATAATAATAATAACACGTTCTACCACCGGCAACTTTTCCGGACCGATACGACTTAGGGACCTTCAAGAAAAGAGCTTACTCCTTTCTATAAGGCAGGTTTTTTTCTTTTTTTTTATAGGCGACGATAGTCACTTACCATCAGGTGAGCCGCATGCTCGATTGCCCTCTCCTCTATAAGATAAAACGTCAACCGTAACACTATTTTTTATCAAATATTAAGATTAATAACTTAATTGTATTTTTTGCAATCAAGACTGCTTAAAAACTCTTGTGAATTCCCACGATCATTTGAAATTTGTTGTCAAAACACAATTATAATGATTTATACAAAACAATTTTTCTCCTCATTTTTTTCTAACAAATACATACTATTTCTTAATTACTTGGTGATTACCATGTTTTGGTAAGTTTTTTTTATAGAATAAGAGTGAAAATGAGAACACAATCTTTCTGATGGTAGTTGGATACTGCGCCCCGTCTATTCTCAATAAAGAATCAAAATGCGGATGCGTCGACACCTCTGAGGATTAAAGTGTAGCCTCGTTTCCAGAAAAAAGGATTTTCGGTTCAGTACACTCAACATATGAAACACAGTAATAAAGTTGATATTTTAAGCCGATATTCTCTAAGAGCGTGGTGCTTCCCGGTTGAGTCATTTAGGATACAACCACAATATAACCTGCAGCTAGCATCTTGGCTCTACCAAGTCGGAAGTAAGTGGTTACTGTAGCCCATAGACACCTACAACCAATCTTATATAAAAATCCCGTCGGACTCAACCGGGGAAGGACCACGCCCTTAGAGAACACCAGCGTAAAATAGAAATTTTATTGCTGTGTTTGGTATGTTGAGTGTACTGAACCGAAAAGCCTTTTTACTGGAAACGAGACATTACACTTTAATCCTCAGAGGTGTCGACGCATCTGCATTTTGATTATTTATTGACATTAGATGGGCCACAGTCTCCACCTACCTACCGTCAGGTAGATTGTGTTCTCATTTTCACTCTTACTCTGTAAAAAAACTTACTAAAACTGGTAATCACCGAGTAATTAAGAAGTAGTATGTATTTATTAGTGCGCCTGTCCTTGCTCATACACTCTATAATCCTGTACTGTGCAAAATGCTAGTCTTCGTAAAGACTGGTCGCCTCGACCGAAATTCTATTATTATATGAGTTATATAATACTATGGGTGCTATGAGCGTAAATAAAATGTAAAGTATAAACTCAAAATAATTAGAGTAAAATAAATATACAGGATTATTTTTCAAAGAGTAGATAAATTATAAACTTAAGTTCTAATATATAAAGCGACAGTAGCCTAATGGTAGGGCGCGAACCGCGAACTCAAAAAGATCGTGGGTTCGAATCCACCATTCGACTACTGTCGTAAACACGTAACACAACGTAAAACAAGCAATTTAAGCTTACCACAAGTAGTAATGTTTATAGCATTGTTAATATTTTCATCTTTAAAAAAAATGAAATGCCGTTATAATTGCAGTTTTTTTTTGAAAATACGAGTAAATAAGGATACTGCTTTTATTTGAAATTATCCAAAATTGAAAGTTTTTGCCTACCGATCGACCCTTATGCCTAGGTCACACACATGACGATAGAATTCTAGCGTTAAAACTTCGGTCATCGGCTACGGCGAAGGTGCCTGACCACACTGCGCGTTGTAAAGTTTATCGCGATAAACACACGCTAATCACAAAATGGACGCCGCGGTCGCTCTATATTGTATGGCATCGAATAAGGATTTTAAGAGCCGTGGTAGCTCAGTGGTTAACGCTCTCTGTAAATATAACAGAACGCGAGTAACCCGGGTTTATACCCGGGGAAATTGTTTATTGCAATTTTAAGTGCTGATTTACCACGTGCTCGGCGGTGAAGGAAAACATCGTGAGGAAACCTGCATGTCTGAGGAATAAGAAAAAAAATATTTCGAAGACATGTGAAGTTCGTCGACACGCATTTGGGCAGCGCGGCGGACACTTCCTTGCCCTAAACCCTCTCAGAAATGAGGGGAGGTCTGAGCCCAGCAGTGGGACGTATATAGGCTGTAACTTTACTACTTTACTTTAAGGATTTTAACTGCATTTTGAGCAACAGGGGACAGCTTTAGACGCCTGCATTATTTATTGAAAATGTCTCATCAAATTATATACCTACACATTACTTCAAAAAATTATAACTGACATAGTCATAGTCATAGTCTTTATTGCAATCAAATGGTTACAATAGATGTTATGTTTAAAAAAAGTCCGCATTTGAACCCAGTTTGGGCGTAGCAATTATTAAAATAATAATTATTGTTTTTAAACTTCAATATTAGATTTCATTAATACATTACATTATTAGATTATGTTATTTTATAATTCTGTAAATTTAATTAAATTCATAATCACTATGTCAAGTAAAAAATAATAATTATTATTATAAGTAAAAATAAAATTAAGTATAAAATAACAATTGAATAACAAAATTAAATTAAATTAGATAGGCACAGGCCGAACTTGTCCACATAAATTAAATAATATTTGTATCAAAATATTCATTTAAATTATAGAAACATTTTTCAATTAAATATAACTTTAATTTGGATAAAAATAGTGTAGTATTCGTTAAATTTTTTATGTCATTTGGAAGGTTATTAAAAATTTTAACTGTCATACAGTAGGGACTAGAGCTATGCAAAGCAAGAGTAGATTTCGGCAATAATTCTTATTTGGTCTAATTGAGTATTTGTAATTTGTTTCACTTAAGAGGATACCTTGAAAATGAATCGAAGTTTTGGGGGCGTGGCTTATTCCTTTGTCGGTGAAGCTAACGGACGACTGCGGGAGTTTCAAAATGAAAGTGATGCAATGACTTCATAGTACGTAAATTATGAGATAGCTATACCGAGCAAGCGCTCGGAAAAAACTAAGCAAGCGCCAAACGATATTTTTATTTATTTTAACAAAACTTCGTTATGTATTAAAAAACTGGTTTATGAGAACTTAGATATGATTATTTACTATGCCTTAAAATAATTCCATGCAATTATTCGTAAGAATATTGTGGTGTCATGGAGAAATGTAAATAATTAGAGCCTACTTTGCAATTTTTTTCTATCGAGAAAATTTCATGATATCGTGTTTTTCTTTTATGCAATCCAAAATCATATAGTCAAAAATTGTATAACAAAATTTTGGTTTGTAATCTACAAAACTTAAAAAAATATGTTAAATAGAAAAAC